AGCCAAACAGACATGGCTGGGTGCTCTGGTGTGGATTCTGCCCCAGACACACCCTGGTTGTCGGAAGGTTCAGGCAAAAGACGCCTACTCCTTGGAGTAAGGCCCAGCTCTGCTGGCACATTCTATCCACAGCCCAGCCTGCCTGTGAATCTTACCCTGCTGGGTCTCAGGGCCTCTCCCCAACCAGAACCGGCTGTGCTTCTCACAGAGTCCCAAAGGCTTCCTGGAGAGCTATGAGGAGATGCTGAGCTACGCCCTGCGGCCTGAGACCTGGGCCACCACCCGGCTGGAGCTGGAGGGCCGAGGGGTGAGTTGGCTCGTGTCGAGCTCCTCGGGTCCTACAGAACTGAGATCCTTTTGGTGGGAGCTTGTGCCCAGCTCTATATGTGTGTGTGCTGAGCAGCTGAGATGGCTCATCACTGCACACACAGAGCCTGGCTTCCAGCCATTTCCTCACGCGTGCTGCACAGCCCCCCACAGCCACAGCAGCTCTAGACCTAGCATCCCCTTTTGCAGGTGGCATGCATGAGCTTCTTTGACATTGTGCTGGACTTCATCCTCATGGATGCTTTCGAGGACTTGGAGAACCCCCCATCTTCGGTGCTCGCTGTCCTGCGGAACCGCTGGCTGTCCGACAGCTTCAAGGAAACGGTGGGCCACTGTCCCTTTCCGTATGTGTTCATGGTACATAACTTGGGCACTAGTCTCTTGTCCCTCGAGTTCGTTTATCCTCCTATTCCAGGGCCAGTCCCTGTTCACTGAGATCTGGGGTGACAGACTCAGGGCATTCCAGAGTTTCCTGATGCCCTGGTTCTGGCAGAAGTGCACATTTCCCTTTGCATTGTACTTCATGTGGTTCAGACCCTTACCCTGGGTTGACACTAAATATATTCATCTTAATGAATCACCTTAGTTTAAAATAGAGGTAATTCCCCCCAACACCTCTACCCCTCAAACAACCAAAAATCAAACTAGCCAGGCAGTGGTGGTACACACCTTTAATTCCAGCACTTGGATGGTGGAGGCCGGCATATCTCTGAGGCCAGCCTGGATTATAGAGCTATTTCCAGGACAGCCAGGCTATGTAGTGAGACCTTGGCTTGAAAAATCAAAACCAGGGGCTGGAGAGATGGCTCAGTGGTTAAGAGCACCGCCTGCTCTTCCAAAGGTCGTGAGTTCAATTCCCAGCAACCACATGGTGGCTCACAACCATCTGTAATGAGATCTGGTGCCCTCTTCTGGCCTGCAGGCAGAGTACTGAGAATACTGTATACATAATAAATAAATAAATCTTTAAAAAAAAATCAAAACCAAGGGCTGGAGAGATGACTCAGAGGTTAAGAGCACTGACTGTTCTTCCAGAAGTCCTGAGTTCAAGTCCCAGCAACCATGTGGTGGCTCACAACCACCTGTAATAGGATCTGATGCCCTCCTCTAGGATGCAGGCACACATGCAGACAGAACACTCATACATAAAATATAAACAAAGTTTTTT